GGAGGAAAAAAAGAAACGAACCTTGCAATTAATAGAAATGAAGAAAAATAAAAAACAAACAAATATCTAAAAATTTGGCAGATATAGAGCTGAAAATAATTTTATTAGATCATTAAATAATAAATTAAATAAGATAAATATTAAATAATTATGATGTACAAATTAATTTCCAGAATATAAAAAATCTTTACAGCATTATATATAAACGTTATATATAATAATTTGAATAGCCCAATAAGATTATTTTCAGATCTTTCTATATCTAAATTTTTAGATACTTTAGCAATATTTTATCCATAAAGTTCCTGGTGAAAATATTTTCCTGAATCTTTTTTAAAAATTATAAAATAATAAAATTATAAAATTATATGAAAAAGAATAAATTGAAGCATTTTCTAGAGAAAAGTAGGAAACGTTAAAAAGGTATTATATTTTATAAAAATGAAAAAACTATAGTTTTCTAAAAATATTTTTTATTTTCTAATTATTTCTGCAATGTTTTTTTTTCTTTGTAAAGATATTTGTAAAAGAAATTTCTTAGAAATTTAAAAATTTCTGAGAAACATCTATGATTAGAATTTATTGAAATAAATATAGATAAATTTAAATATTTTTAATCATATTATCTTTTTTTCTTGGAATTATTGTTCAAGATATGAATTTCTGACTTTCATTAACATATTCATTGATCATATTTTTTTAATAATTTTTGTAAAATTGTGCAACAAAATGTTTCTGAAAATTTCAGTGAAATATTTTGTAGGAGGAATTATTTCAGAAAAAATATGTATTATTCAACATTTTCTGAAAAAAATATTAAAAAGTATATAATTTTTACAGCAGAAGTACTCATTAAAAATACAAGTTTAGAGAACACATGTATCATTAACAGAAAAATTATAATTTTATCCTAAGGCGTTTTATTTTGTATCATTTCAGAAAAAATTAAAACTTATGAAAATCTTTAAATTGTATAAGGGATATAAGATAGATAAAAAAATATCTTATGTTTAAATAGAAAGTTTTTTTTATACATTATCAGAATTTACTACAGACAAAAAAAAAATTTTATTATTTCGTCTATTTTTATATTTATTTCTATATTTATTTTTATATTTGATAAAGTTTAAAAATGTTTTATATTCTATGAAAAATCTAATTTTTAGAAAAAATCAAATATTTTCATAAAATGGTTTTCATCAAAGTATTGATACAAAATATCGCATTGCAAGGAAAAATTAGTGACAAAAGTCATTAAACATAAAAATAAATTGCGGAGTATTTACAATGACCGAATTGTAATTGTTATCTGTTTTTATCAGCATCAAGCGGAGAATGTATGCAGTGCCGTAATGTCCATGATTCTATATATGAACGAGTTCGTGTTGATTGGGACATCTTGGTGCGAGATCTATCAAATTCAACTGTCAAATTTTCACATGCGTCTACTCATCACCTCTCACACTAGTTGTATATATAGCATTGCATTTCCACGGTAAAGATATCAAATTCACAACGGATTGACTGAGTTCGATTAACATTATTCTAATATTGTAGCAATCATTCGAAAATATTTGCAACAGGCAGTAAGAACGACATCAGACTGTGGCAATTGGAAAAGCAGAAGGAGATAATTCGTATCACCGTAGCGAATTTCGTTTGCTCTAGTTTACAATTTGCGTGCAATGATCAAGTGCTATTTTCCGGTATGCATGTCTAGTTCAGTTTATATGTTACCGAAATTTTTAATATTTCAAAAATTTTATATAACGTTACAATCTTGTAATATTTTTCTATTGTTATCTGCACAATTGATAAGGATTACTATTCCTAACTTCAGCACATAATAATCTTTCATTCATCGAAAGTTCTTCGCGCACACTTCAAAGTTTCTCACAATTGCGATTTATCGCATATGTGTAAAATAACGCGAGTTATTATCATGTCTAAACTGCACAAAAATTTTTATTGTTTATATATTTCAGCTTGGAATGATGGTATAATAAGAGCGTTTAGGCCACATAACGGGGAATTCTACTTTTCCATTCATAACGCACATACGAAAGCAGTGTCGACGATTGCAGTCACAAGCGACGACACAAAGTTGATTAGTGGTGGCTGCGATGGCCAGGTGATTTATTTTGCTTTACACAAAGTATATCTTTTAATATCGGAGTTTTAATTTGAAGTAATAAGAATAAGATTTACTCTATTCTATGGAAAATTAATATTAATTTTATGTACTATGCATATACTAAATTAAACCAAAAGCATTGCACCTAGAAGCTTAAAGGATTGTCTACATCAAAGAACTTATATACATAGAGTAAAGGAGCCAGTTAAGAATGCGTGAGCAGATAGAAGACAAAAAATGAGAGGCCCATCAGCATCCTTGTTGCGCGCAATATTAAATAAGGATAAAGATGGCCCTCTCTATATTTTTTCTTTCTATTGCCTAACATTTCTACTTATAGGGATCCCTATGCCTTCTCTACTCTATGTATATATATATATA